GGACAATCAATATGTCCTTGCCTTTTTAATTCACACACTGAAAACAACACCCATGCTCATGATATGAGAGCAATGACAACATCATAGGCATTCCTGAAAAGTGTTCCTCTGCTGAACATTTTGCAGGCGGCCGCTTGGGAAACTCTGTCAACCTTCATCATATGTTTATTGACGTATATACATGTACTGCTTGGTAGATCCTTCAACTATGGCAGCCTCACCCTACCCCTCCTCCACAAACGTTGCTACTCTATGCAAAAGTAAGGTTTTTGAGGTAAGGGAGTCCCTGAAGTGGACTCACCAAATCTAAGGTTAGTTGGGAGTCCACAAGGGGTTGATACTTGGCTCTTATCCCCCCCTCCCTTTTCCCACATGGGACTCAGCTGATGGGAGCCATTTAAGTGCTCAGTATAATAAACACAAGAGGACGAAGGTGCCAGACTAATATTGGTACCAGGACCTGGTCACTGAGGGCACTATTAACCATGGTATTAAAAAAACTAGCAGTTGGAAGTCTTAGCTGGAGAAATATGTAAAAGTAAGGTTTAACAGGCAAGTATTGTCCTCTCATGGACTCCCATATCATGTATGGTTGAGGGGATTCCTGTTTGTCAATAAAGTGCTGAGAATTTGTCGAATAAACACCATTTCATTATGCAGTGAAGTGACTGCAGTCACCACAGTCACTGCACAACCACAACGTACATGTTCACATGAACGATCAACCATGTATAAGTAAAAAATAAAAACAAAAACAGTTTTTACCAATAAATCAACAAATGTGGTAACTATCCTTGCATTTTGGGCAAAAGAGTTACTGCAATTGGAAAAAACAAAGCCAAATGTCTAAAAATTGGATATTTGTTCAAGAAAAACAGGCTTTGTTATGGAGCTCCAAAGGAGTGACCGTAATTGGTTTGGACCAATGGCCTAGTATTATCTTAAGGCATGAAACTGAGATGATATAATCAATTCGCCCCGTCTCAAAGCAGTTTGATTAACCAGTAGTCGTCAATGATCAAGTAATTTTATCAATGAGGTCTAAATAACGAGAGTGAACCTTTTCCTTCCATTTTCCCCCCATTTTTTTAGAAAACTGGTACATGACCTTTTTTTTCTATGGACACCTTTGTCCAAAGCTCTCTACTGCAGATGGCTCAGTGCACATAACAGACAATACAGTGCCAATGACAGTCCAAACTTTCACAGAATGCAGAAACATATATTTTGCATAACTGGTATGGAGAATCAAAGCAGTTTGTCATCCCATTGCCAGTTACAGTGTACGAGTTATCTCGTAGATTGGGGTTTTTTTTTCCATAGAGTTATTATGAACATACTACAAGATATGGACACTGAAAAGTACCTATTAAGTATGCACACATGCATACAATGCTTGGCAAATGTGAATGCCCTGTAAAATTATGCACGGCAGTCAACTTGTTAAATGTTTTATCCGCTACGTTAAGAAAGCTTAACAGGTTGTTTGGAATGACACATCTTTTATCTTATCCCTTTTTATTATGTGCCTGCAGTTTTGTTGGTGAGGTATACTGTCCTTGCCTTGTCCTTCTGTTTGTGTGTATGTTTTGTGTACCCTGGGTGGTGCTATGTTGAGAAGACAGTTTCTTGAGAAATTCTGGACCATTTGTGTGAAGAAAAACTCGCCCCCATAACAGATTTGTTCCAGTAATTTACCCCAATAATATGTACAACTACATCTGTTGTTCAATATGTATGTACAGTGTAGTCCCCCACCAACAGTACCAGTGCCTGTGTGTACTTGTGTATAAATGTATGCATGCAGTTTATTTTATAAATTGGCCTTGGTGTCCTTGAGATAGCTTTTCATTTTGGATTTAATACATGCAGGTGAAAGGTCAAGGCACGTGTGTGAGTTGGTCCTTCATTAACCTATTGTCTGCTTCAGTATATGTACATGTAGGTCTAAGGTAAAGGTAATTCTTATTAAACAACAGAGACGTGGTTACTTTTTATGGACCCATGGTGTACTTTTTCAAAAGATGCCCATCAAATAATTATCAGTGACCCCAGACTCCTGAACTGATATATAAGTTCCCCAGAACTGCAAGCATCAAAATCTCAAAAACAAAAATATGACAAGCCCTTTCATTTGTATTGTGCACCAGTGAGATAATTAAATTGTACACAAACTCCTCATTAATAAAATTCTGGGAAGTCATACACACTAATTTTGTTTTGGGGTCCTTTTGTAAGGCAGAGAAAGGGAGATCCTTGTAGTAGAGGCCATGGGCATTGATTAAAATCGACCAGTCAACTGAAATTAAATTGCCCTAGAATTTGGGGATAAACCATTTAATGATTGCATGAAATGCCAAAGTCATGTGATTGCTTGAATATCAACACCAAGACTGATTGTGCCAAAGTTGAACCCATTCAAAAAAAAATGAAAATTATGATTTTGAAAAAGGGGGGAAATGTGTACTGAAGTGTCCTGTAGTAGTCACTGCAGTGTTACCACATTTTGCAATTTCTACCTTATTGTAAGTAAATTGATCACTCATGTGCCATTTACTTAGGGTCTTTGGTCTCCCCTTTGGCTGTAAAGGACTGAAACATGGAAAAATAACTTCCTCAGTTTCAGACTGTCTTTGACTTTTTATATGGAATACATAATTCCTCCAAAATACAAAAACAAGAGAAAGCATTTGTATCACAATTTTTTCAAGGTCAAGGTCACATAATTTCAAAACAGTCTCTCTGAGGACTCAAAATTTATGGGGCACATAAATTTGCTCTCATTCTGTGTGCCCAAGGCCAAAGTTCATTTTGATACCAACTGTCCTCTTCACTGAGAAATGGTTAATTAACTGAAATACATGTACCATATGATGGCAGTTGCTGCATATTTTACTGAGTGGTAGTTTTAGCACAATGATTGTAATTCCATTACTATGTTGTATGAGACACGTTTGCCATGTGTGGTGGGCAAAAAACGTTGGCCCCACTTCGTTGACAGATACATGTAATATTCCTGAAAGACTGTATCAATAATATGTCTCTAGAACAAACTTCCTACTTGTTGTTAACATCAGTGCACATTAAGGGGGTTAGATCTCATGAATCATGTTTGTTCTTTGTATAATGCACTAGTCCCCCTCGCCAGTTAATATTAGGTTTTCTTCCCCCAAAAAAACTGCTGGCCATGTTTTTTCCCACAAATTCTTCAACCTTGCAAATTACATGTATTTCTGGGGTCCATAAAATATTCAGGGAGATACAACTCTTAGGTTTTAATAGTCATTGGTATTTTCATTCTTTACCCCCAAGTTCTTCTGTTCAGCCAATTTTCAACTGGTCTCTTTGAAATTGTGGCAGGTGTCCAGAACAAATATTGCATTGTATGAAAGTTTTAACAGCAGTAGAATCATTTTGCCTAACTGGAAATTTCATCAATTGATCTGTTCAACATTCCTACATACATGAACCCTGTACCTTCTTGTTCTATGTCAAAATCTTGGAATACCGTTTAGTTATGAGGGTTACTGACATGGAATGTGTTTCTATTTAATTTTAAAACCTGTGTACACCAACTATTAAACGTTTTATTTCTGAATCCATTCCCAACAGTAGTTTTCTTGTTAAGTATTTTGGTTTTAGCTTTGTTTTTATTATTTTCTTTTGTTTCTTAAAGTCAGTTCTGATTTTGTATTTTGTCTCTTTTGTAGAGTTGACACTTTCTTGTGTTCTTATACCGCATCCCCTTAACATGGTTTTTAAGTCTGGTCCCTTGCATACATATTTTTTACTAGATCATTGTTGTCACTTGCACCATCTTAATATACATATAAATATATAAAACATATAAAAAACATATAAACATACATATGGACCTTATTTGAGCCTGAAATTTTAATGTTAATTGTTGCTATGTTTATTGTCTTATGTATGCTGGGACCCATGGGAGACCAGTTGATTACTCTGAATGGGCCTCCCAGTTGACCAAAAGAAATTTTAATTTTTTAATGTAGGGACCTCATGAATATGGATAAGTAGTCTCTGGGACTCGGCCCACTTTACTGTCGTCTTGACCCGACCATGCCAACGGACAAGGGAAACAAGTTCATGGCTTGAGCACATTCTGCCAACTGGATTTTGTTACAGTTAGGATTTTGTTACAGCTGGGATTTTGTTTCAGCTGGGATTTTGTTACACCTTGGATTTTGTTCCACCTGGGAGATTTGGGATTAGCTGGAAATCAATAAACCCAAGATAGAGTATCATCAAGTGTTAGACTGACCGGTTTCTCTTACCAGAGGATAGCACCTCTCCCAATGTGGGCTCAGGGCTCACGTACCCCAAACAGATGCACACACGTCGCTTCACTTCATTCATTATAAATTGGTTTAGTGAGGTAATTAATCACCAATTAACACTAATTAATTACTGTTCGATCAGTTGCCTGTGCTTTTTATTCGTGTTGTAGTTTGTATGTTTTTATCCGTGAATTCTTCGATTTGGTTTGAGCATCAGTGTTTTAATGTTGAATGTGTGGTATGAACTGGTTCTTATCTTGCTGCTCATCGTTATTTTGTAGATTTGTGATTTTTATGTAATTGAAATTTGACTTCCTCACTTGAACTGCAACTGATTGGGGAGACAACGCTGTTGTACACGCTGGGATCCAGCATGTACATTTCATGTTTCAAAATGAAGCCAATGGCTGCTACTGGACTAACCAAGTTTGTTTTCATTATATTTCTCATGGGATGCCAGCTCCAGCTCTTACCAGCTAAAGACATCAGAGACTTTTTCGTACGTTTGTCTGGTCATCACCTTCAACCTTTAACAGTTGCACTTCGAATACAATCCAGTTATCAGGTTTGTTGTTGCTGCAGCAAAATTTGATAATGTTCCATCTGCTGTACTTCATAAACGATGTGCTCCAGGCTTCTGCACTTCAAAATAATCAGTGATCAAATGGGTTAAACACGGATATCTCTGTACTCTCATCTCAGGTCAGGACCCACCTACAGATATTACCATCTTCATGGATGTGCCGAGAAACCCAGGGCCAAAGATGTGCATAGATAAACAATGAATTACTTACACTCCAGATGAAATGAAAGCCATGAGATGCCGGATTAAACTTCATTTACCGAGCTCTACATATGATTGTTTAAAAACGTTAGATCTATTTAAAAAAAGACGAGGGAGAAAAGCAGGTCTTCGTCCTGTAGCTCTTCAAACAGCTGACACGAGGATACCTCAGAAAAAGTGTGGCCAAGGAAGTGAAGTGACAGTTAGTTATAATAAGGAGTATGATAATCAACAAATCAACAATGACCTCTTCAAACATTTTCAGCGTAGATGAGTTCATATCATTCACCTGAATGTTAAATCATTATTACCAAAACTTTTTGAATTGAAGACCATCCCTCAAAAGTTTCAAGTTGCAATATTCGGAGTCTTTGAAACATGGCTGGATGATTCCGTCCCCGATGCTGAAATCACGATACAGGGTTATTCTGTTCTCCGACATGACAGGACTCGACATGGCGGAGGGGTCTGTGTGTACATTAACAATGATTTTGTCTTCAACCAAAGAATGGATTTGATGAGAGACAATATGGAAACTGTTCGGTTTGATTTACTCCTACCGAAATCAAAACCAATAACAATCGGTGTGTGTTATCGCCCTCCTAAAGACAATGACTTTCTTGATCAGTTTAAAAACATTTTGTCAGTTATTGGGTTAAATCGTGAAATAATTATCGTGGGTTATTTTAACATAAATTCCCTACAGAAAAACTGTACTCAGTTTAGGGATTATAAAAATAATTTGGAAATGTTTGATTGCAAACAACTTATCACGGATACCACTAGTACTACTAATACTTGCTCAACTTTACTGGATCATGTTATTTGTAACACTGGAGACATGATTAGCCAATTTGAGTGATCATTTTCCCATCTATTCTTGCAAGGTGTCAAGCCAAATTGTGGTGGCCTTAATATCACCACTATCAGATCTCTTAGGAACTATAACATAGAGTGTGTCTGTTGCAACTGTCACATGCTGATTGGTCTAATATATATTGCAGTGATATTGATCAAGCCTAGGACAATTTCAAAAACACTGTTTTGCAAATTCTCGACACTGTCGCTCCGAAAAGAGATTAGATTAAAGACCAAAACTGAATGTTGGTTTAATCATGACATATCAGAAAATATTAGGCTTTCAGATAAACTTCTTGGTAAAGTTGCCAAAGAGAAAAATAACACTGATCTTTATAAAACTTACTGCCAAATTAGAAATAAGATCCAGAGGGATGTTAGGATTACCAAAGCTAATTATCTCAGTCACAAGATTGAAGAAAATGGAAACAATCCTAAAGGACTTTGGCACCATTTTAAATCACTTGGGTACAGTAAAAAATGTAAGGATGAAACTAAACTTGCACTTAAAATTGATAACGAGTTCTGTTTTGATACAAACAAAGTGGCAAATTATATGAATCATTTTTTTTACTACAGTTGCTTCTGATCTGGTGAACAAATTGCCTCGCGCCCAAAATAATTTTGGGATTGAGTCTAGGGTTTCAGGAATTTTTATGAGAGCAGAGGTGTAGTCTCAAATTCCTTTAAGCTCTCTACTGTTTCGAGAGATTTCATTAACAAAGAATTACTCCCAAAAAAAGGACTGGTCCAGATAATATTCCAGTGAAATTCGTTAAAGATGGTGCTGTCATCCTAAAAGATCCTATTTCGTTTATAATTAACCAATCCATTTCCAGTAATATTTTTCCAAATGAACTGAAGCTCGCCTGAGTTAGGCCTGTATTTAAGAAAAATAGTAGATCGGATGTTGGCAATTACTGACCTAATAGCATTCTCAGTACATTATCCATATTGTTGGAAAAAGCTCTTTATGTTCAATTGGAAAAATATTTGACTGATAATAAACTTGTTTACAACTTTCAGTCGGGGTTTAGAAGCTCATATTATACAGATACTTGTTTAATTTATCTCACTGACTACATTCGTTCTCAGATTGCCAAAGGAAATTATACTGGTATGGTTTTGCTGGATTTACAAAAGGCTTTTGATACAGTAGATCATTTTATTTTATGAAGAAAATTCCAAGCCACGAGTGTTCATTTTGATTCTGTTGATTGATTGGTTTCGATCTCATCTCTCAAATAGACAAGAAATTGTTCGAACTATCCCCGCATGCACAGGACCAGAGAACTGAACTCAGGGACAGGTGGACACTCCCATTCTAACTTTTGTGTCGATTGGCCTGAGCAGCCGTTTATTGAACTGGACACAGTTCAGGTTGTTCCCGCCCGAAGATGGTGACGTGGAACTGCAAAAAATACATTGCGCACAATCAAAGTATAGCTACCTAGCAATATATGGAAATAGTTCCCGCCCGAAGCTGGTGACGCGGAACTGCAAGTATATCTTATATTGCGTTTCAGGCAAAGTGTAACTATTCAGCAAAAATTACAGAGATTGTTCCCGCCCGAGCCTGGTGACGCGGAACAGCAACACATATCAGCAAAAGTACCGGTACTATGGCAATCAGCAATTGTTCCCGCCCGAGCCTGGTGACGCGGAACAGCAACTCATATCAGCAAATACATAGAGCTATCAGCAAAAATGTATGAAAAGCAATTATCATATCA